GTTAACAAATTCTAGAATACATCTTCTACTAAATTTAATTCTAAAATTAGCATAATACGTATTCTTCTATTTGCTCTATGTTCCGCAAAATTTAGAAAATCAATTCTAAATTATTGTAGAATTCCGGAAATTAAGAAAACTAAATATTTGAAATCTTTTATATGAATCTACCAGTTTAGGAAATCGAATATATTGTTCTATTACATTATGCAAAATTTAGAATCTGTATTATGCTTTTTTCAGAAGTCAGTAAATTGTTGATTTCTCTTCTATATACTATAGCGTTTTTCTGATGAATTTTCTTTCTTTTCATGTGTTTAGAACTTGAACATGATCAAATGTAAGTAACTAATGCATAGTGTACATATACCAAGTATAAATGAACGTAGAGTAAACGCACATAGCTATCTTAAAAAGATTAATGGTTCAGAAGGGCCTTAATAAATAATTAGAAAATATTTTAAAAGAAATCATTAGTGAAACTTCAAAAAATATGACTAAATTATTAAGATTGTTATTCTTGTTTCGAATTAAAAACATGAGTAGTTGCATTCAAACTCTATAATTCATTAACAACATATTGTTAAACAAACAGAAAACCAATTTGTGTTGGTTTCTTAACGATTCTGTAACAACCTAGAGTTCATGATTTACGAGGTTGATACTTGGTTCTTTTTGTCTTAAAATAAAAAGAGAAAATTGAAAATAAATGATATTTTTTTTGGAGTTTGTCCATCTATACTTTTATTATTTAAGTTTGGTGATATATACTTTAATTTAGTTAAAATCTTACTATGCCCTTAATCAGAAATATTAGATTTAATCATATTTTAGGAAGTAATTTACAACAATATTTATTGGCTCAGTTGGTTGATGAGTTAGAAATTTTTGATTGATGTCTCAAGTTCGAGACTTCTTTATCTCTTTTGTTTTAGTTCTTTTTATTTAATCAATGAGAATTTTTTTTAAGACAAAAAGATCAAGCAGCAACCTCGTAAATCATGAACTCTAATTCGGTAATGAATCGTTAAGAAACTAAAACAAATTGTTTGCAATTCTGATTTATTCCCGAACCATCAAGAAAACCAACACAAAATTAGTTTTCTATTTGTTTAACAACATGCTGTTGTTAACGAAACAATAATAACAATCGTAATAATTTAGTCATACTAGAAAATGACTCGCGCGATGCACGATTTTTTTTTAATAATTTTTTAAAATATAGTGATGAAATGTTTAATTAATCTAGTAATTTTATACTCTTTTTTGGTCAAAGATGATAAATTTTATTAAACCAAAAAAGATTAAACCGGTAAAAATCGGTTCATAATACAAAGCAAATTTGGCTAGGCCATCGACCATGGAATTCTTATGTGTGGAAATAATCACAAAAGATGAGATATTGAGATCTACAGATAGAATTGCAATGTCATGTAACATACCATAGCATAAAGGTGAGAGCTTTGTGAGTTGAAAATTGTATTATACTTATAATTGGCAAATCAACCAATTTTCTTTAGATATAAAATATTGAGAAATTTCAAAAAGTGCCACTTTACAAAAATGCCACACTTTTTAAAATTTTTACAAAAATGCCACTTTTTCAAAATTATTTTTTCTTTGTATTATTTATGTTTGGGTTAATTATGTTCTATTAGGGTTTAGTTTTGAGTGTTTATGAGGTTTTAGGTGTCAAAATATTTTTTAGGGTTTAGAATTCTAAGATATAGGCTTTATAAATCTATAATTAGTGGCATTTTTGTAAATGGACAGTCCTAAGTGGCATTCTTGCAAATATGCACACAAAAAGTGGTATTTTTGTAATTGCCCCTAAAATAT